ACATCTTTGAAAAATCAATTGAACATCTTATAGACTATCCATTTTAAGTCTACAAATGTTCCAATAAAATGAATAAAGAAAGTCTATCTTTTGTTGGTACCTTACAAACAGTTTAAAAGGCCTGCAACAGTCTGGACTAGTGAGGATGGGGGATGAAAGGGACTCATACAAGTTAGCTTAGTCCTTGATTTTCCTGTTCCCTTCAATGAGTTGGTTGAGGTGGGTCATTATTTTAATTGACCATAAATTACTAGTTAATGGTTCCCAAACACATTGTCACCAAAAATTCCCAGAGGTAGGTAACAATAGGAGGTCCTAGATGTTAGGAACTTTGTAACATTGTGGGAGGTTGGGTGTGTCAAACCAATTCCTTCCCCCAAGCCGAGCTTCATCCACCCCTAGAGAAACTAATCTGATAAAATTGTGAGTCATGAGTACAGAAAAATCACAAAGGGGGTTGAGTCCCTGGATCATTTACAGTGATGCTCTGGGGACCAGAAATGAAATCATGGTTGATCTCATGTAAGTGAAGTGCCTTAACCCTTACACTGTCTCTCTGGCTCTACACTTTCTTTCTTAAAAAGAAATATAAGTTCTTTTAAAGCAAAGTCTCAACTAGCATCAACTAATATATTTCATATATATTTTCTCCCTCATTATATATCATTGCCTCCTTAAGTATATTAGCTTATGTGTATTATATAGGACACATAATGTGAGATGTTATATAAAATACTAATATTACATAGAAATATTAACATAATTTCTCTCTTCAGGATAATATTAAAGTAGTTAATTTGTAGATAAATACTTTGTAGAGAAAAAGATCTTGTTAGGAAAATCTCAAAATGCTCTAGAAATATGCTGTGGAGTTGAGTGTGTTTAATCATTGTTCTTTCCTTGTCTGGCCATTAAGAGAAAGAGGGACTGATAATTAAAAGGACCTATACGGAGTTGAGAAACAATAGCAAACTTTAGTGCTGCATCTGGATGTTGGCATTTTGTTCCAGAAGTCTAGTCATCTGACTTGTTGGCCAGGACTCTTGAAGGCATTTCTGGAAACTCACTGATAGGGACGAAAGGGGAGCAGCTAGGGTGAGATTAGGAATATAGCCTAAAGAAGGGGCATCATCACTACGAAAGGTCATGAGAGTGGTCCAGGTGGTGCCTGATAATCTGGATGACCTACATCCTGCTGGATCTGGACAGCAGAAGAGAATCATATCAGCATGCTTGCCCCTTTGAAAAGGCCAACATTTTTGGAACAAAATAAAGAAATGCTCACCTATTCACCTTTGTTAAAAAGCTATAAAAGAGTAAAGGCTCTGTCTTTCTCTTGAGTCCTTTTTCAGGAGATTCCCCCCATAAACTGAGAGCTTTGCTGCCTGCCTTTCTATTCCCTTAAATAAAGTCTTTTTTGAATATAGCCACTTGATCTCTGGTTTCTTGTTTCAGCCTCTTTTTTTTTTTGTTTGTTTGTTTTTAGGTGATGCTCAGGGTATTACTCCTGGCTTTGCACTCAGAAATTACTCCTGGTGGTGCTCGAGTATCCATATGGCTCCAACCCCTATTCCAGAACTGACTGCTTGAAGATAAGAACCTGAATGTCTGCCCCCGGTGTAATATAACTCTAAGTAAATTTGCTTGGAAGTAGATAAAGTAGGGAAGAGAAATTGGTGCATTTCTCCTACTTTATGAACAATTTGCTCTACATCTTACATATTGTTCAGGTCACTGAGACAAACACCAGAGGGGAAAAATTCCAGCATATTGTAGCGAATAATTCCAGAAAAAAAATGTTTAACCCATGGAAGCTCATTTTACCTGAAAAGTAATATTTGCTATTTATTGTTTCTTTCTTTGATATCAGATCTTTTTCATTATTACTGCAGAGTTGCACAAAAAAATCTCTGAAATATTTACATCCTACTATATTAAAAATAAAAAAGATGGATTCTTGAAAAAGCACTAGGAAAGAGGACTACTTTGGAGTAAAGAATCTGTCTTTAGGATCTGCTGAAAATGTGACCACAATCCTGTTCAACTTCTCTAAAGGAATCGGACCTGTGTTTCATGCGCCGGAAGGTACTGCAATTTACCTAGGTTGCTAAGTAAAAGCAAAAAAAGAAGGTTGGTGGGGGCCGGAGTGATAGCACAGTGGGTAGGCTGTTTGCCTTGCACGCGGCTGACCTGGGTTCTATCCCCGGCATCCCATATGGCCCCCCCAAGCACTGTCAGGAGTAATTCCTGAGTGCAGAGCCAGAAATAACCCCTGAGCATCGCTGGGTGTGACCCAAAAAAGCAAAAAATAAAAAAATTTAAAAAAAAAGAAGGTTGGGTCATCTGCAACAATGCTCAAAGTAAAATTGGAAAAGGGGAAATCTTCCCAATTGTATTTACATCTTTATGTTTTTGTTTGCTGAGTTTATTCATATCTTCTATGCTTTAATTCCAGTGCTTTCTCCCGTGTGGGAGTGCTTGCTTGCAGTAAGTGCAAGTGTGCACCAGGTGAAAGCAATAACATAATCCTGGTCTCGGCACTCGTGACAGAGCTTATTGTACTGTACGTCCCAAATTAGCTGGAGACTGGTTTCTTGGGCGTGAGAGTGGGAATGGCATGCTCGTCCTTGTTTCCTGGGGTTTTTTTTAAATAAACACTTTTCAAAAGAGTAGAGAAATTTCCAGAAAATTTGGCAAAGAACTAAAGAAATCTACACTTTCGGCTTTCTCTGAGTGGGAAAGTTTAAAGAAAATGTCTTCTTTGTCAACTACTTAACATCTCAATCACAGAACAGTTTGAAGAAGAATTCACAGTTCTGTCAGCATGAGGCCAGATAGCCAGGAACTGAATTTTGACTTTGTCCATTGATGCTGATAGACCTTGAAAAAAGTTGTTCAGATCGTCCTCACTCAGGGTCTGTCATTGCGAATGTAGCGGTGGGAGGGAACCTAGAGACAATGGTGGAGGGATGATGATGTTTTAATGGTGAGAGTGGCATTGTCTATCAAAAACATTATTGTTAATGAATGCTGTAAATGACAGTGCCAAAATTTTAAAAAAAGAAAACATATAAAGTTAACAACAACCACCAAAAGTAATTAAACTCCTTTGTTTCCATTCTTCTTAGACATAAGATAGAGATATTGACAACTATTTGAGGATTAGTTTAGAAAAACTATATAAAAGCTTAAAATAGTGCTTGACACTCGTGAATGTTCAGTAAATATCAACTACTGTTATTAACTTAAAATCATTATGTTAACACTTTTCAATACTTTTTAATCTTAATTCCAAATCTTTTAATCCAAATTCCACATATTTTAATAGGTCATAATATTGCTACATGCATGATTTTAAATTTACATATATTTTCACTGATCAGCAAAAATAATTTCCCATGTCTATACATATGTATACTTCCTAAGTACTACCTTGGGTGGGGGGTTTGTGTGAAATGGCAGTGCTCAGGGATAATTTCTGGTGGTACTCGGTAGAACATAAACCTGGAATTGAATCTTTTCCCCAGCTGCCTTATCTTCTGCCTATCTCTCAGGCCCCTAAGTGGCACTTATAATAGCTCCATAGCTGTTAAACTTACTAAGATGTTTAATAATAGAATGCCACATATGTTTCATGATCCAAAAATTATCCCCATTTTATTGAGTACAAATTGTTCCTATTATTATTTTACAATTATAAACAAAACTGCAATGAACAACTTAGGAGATTTTGTATTCACTCTAAAATCAATTTACCATTTGGTTTTATTGATTTCATAAAATCAATAAAACCAAATGGTGAAGAAGCTAGATTATTACATACAAAAGCATAGACAATTTAATGTAACATTCCAAAATGGTTGCCTTAAGTTACATTATCACAAGTTATCATGGTTTATAACATTTCCTCACTAGCATTTGAAGTATTATTAATCCAGGTTGACTTGTCTGATAAGTGTAAACTAGCCATTTTATTTTTATTATATATGTTTATTTTATAGATTGCATTAGTTCCTTCTGAGTGAAGTAATTTGTTTCTCTTGACCAGTTAGTGGTAGGGGTTATTTTCCTGATATACTTGAACATGCGTATTAGCCCTTTCTTGCACATTTGATGAAAAAAACTCAGTTGTTTTCTGTGATTCACATATTTATGGGCCCAGCATGCTTCCGCTGGGCTGGAGCAATAGCACAGTGGGTAGGATGTTTGCCTTGCCAACCCGGGTTCAATTCCTCCGCCCCTCTGGAGAGCCTGGCAAGCAACCGAGAGTATCTCCCCCACACGGCAAAGCCTGGCAAGCTACCCGTGACGTATTCGATATGCCAAACACAGTAACAAGTCTCACAATGGAGATGTTACTGGGCCACTCAAGCAAAATTGATGAACAACCTGAGGACAGTGCTACAGTGCTACATATTTTATGATTAACATTTTTGTATATTTGAATACACTTCTTTTGTATTTTTTTTATTGAATCACTGTGAGATACAGTTATGAAGCTTTCATGTTTGAGTTTCAGTCATACAATGATCAAACACCCAACCCTCCACCAGTGCACATCTTCCATCACCAATGTCCCCAGTATACTTCCCATTCCATCCCTTCCCCTGCCTCTATGGCAGACAATCTCCCCCATACTCTCTTTTGTATTGCTTGTTATGAATAGGATAAGATGTCACGCAGCCATAAGAGCAGCCATGTGCTCCTGGAATTATAAAATTTTAGAAAATTAAAGTCTAGAGTAATTACTGCAGTGAGCCAGCTCATCCCCTATCCCTTTTGACCTGGAGTTTGCTGTCACTGAACCCGCGTACCTGCACTTCTCATTGGGTTCTGAAAGTTGGTGGCCACCGGGGTTCTTGGGAGGCAGGTGGAGGGACAACATCTGTTCTGTCTGAGACACTGAAGAAGTCGGCAGGCTTAAAGTCTGGAGACATCTCTGCAGCAAGTTGCTTAGTTTGGAGTGAATGTTCTTCTTTTGAATATTTTATTTCTTTTCAGGGGAGAGCAAGAATGCTCTCCTACTCTCACAAATAATGCAATTGAGTTTCCCACATTTGGGGAAATTGTAGGGGTCAGCACATCTGGAGTGCAAAGGATAAACCTTGCACTCAGAAAACTACCTTCCTGTTCATATGTCCCCTGCCAGGTAAGTTCTTCTTCTTCTTCTTCTTTTTTTTTTTTTTTTTTTTTGGCTACATTCAGCAGTGCTCAGGGCTTGTTCCTGGTTCTATGCTCAAGGATCATTCCTGGTGATATTCAAGGGATTGTATATAGTACTGAGGCTCAAACCTGGGTAGGCTGGGTTCAGGGAAAGTGTCTTGACCCTGTTCTATATTGTAAGTCTTTTGAATCTTCATTGCATCCGGGTTGCATTGATTATTCAGATGTGTTTCTTGCAGGCAGCAGAGTGTTGGGTTCAATTTTCTAATCAATACCCCCACTCTGTGCCTATTGATTGGTGTATTTAATCCATTGACATTGAGAGAAATTATTGTAATGGGGATCTGTGCCATCTTTATGTAGGAATTTGGTGTAATTGTGGGGCTTCTCTTATCTTAAAGTAGCCCATTTAGTCTGTTTAGTTCATTTTGTAACAATGATTTTGAGCCTATGAAGTTTCTGAGTTGTTGTTTATCTGTGAAATTGTGTACTTTTACTTCAAGTCTGAATAACAGTCTGGTTGGGTAAAGTATTCTCGGTGAGGTGTTCATTTCATTGAATATTTTTTTTTCCTCTCTATCCCACCATTGTCTTGGGCTTGGAGAGTTTCATCTGATATCTGCGATGAATCTTTTTTTTTAATTTTTATTAGTGAAACACCTGGAGGTCTGCGGCTGCCGGAACCCTGGTCGGGGCGGGGAGGAAAGCTCAACCCACTCCCCTCCAAGGGGTCCCGGCGAGGAACACCCAGGCGCGGGGGCAGAAGACTGCGGCCAAGACTCAGAGACTATAAAATCCAGATCCCGGACGAGAACAGTGCAGTCTTCTGCCCCCGCGCCTGGGTGTTCCTCGCCAGGACCCCTTGGAGGGGAGCGGGTTGAGCTTTCCTTCCCGCCCCGACCAGGGCTCCGGCAGCCGAAGACCTCCAGGACCAGCCACCACCATGCTGAGATCACTCTCCGCACACATGAAGGTACTGGCAGAGGGACAAAGCCACGTGGGTTCCGGGGCCGAGACCTCCAAGCCTACTCGGATTGAAGTCGAGCATCTTCCATCCAGATCCTCCAAATTCCAGTAGGCGGGGGTCACACCCACCACCTGGCCCCCTGGCGCTGTGTAATCCCATCAGCGGCCAAGACTCAGAGAGTATAAAATCCAGATCCCGGAACCGCAAATGCGGCCGCGCGACATCTTATCAGAACTTTTTTTTTTTATGTCATCTTATTATCTCATTCCTACTTTGGACAAACTTGCAGGCTATCGAATGTAGCCTGCCCACAGGGCAGAGTCTGGCAAACTCCCCGTGGCATACCAAATATGCCAAATACTAGTAACAATGATGGGTCTCATTCTCCTAAAGAGCCGTGAATATAATCTCAGGGCTAGGATGAAAGAGACGTTACTGGGGCCTGCTCGAGGCAATCGACGAATAACAGGATGATGAAATGAAATGAAATGAAATGAAAAGTGAAACACCATGAGGTACAGTTGTAGACTTATAAATTTTTGTGCTTGGGTTTCAATTATACAATGATCAAATACCCATCCCTCCACCATGCCCATTTTCCACCACCATGTATCCCAGTATCCCATCCCACCTTGCCTCTGTGGCAGGGCATTCCCTTTTGTTCTCTCTCTCCTTTTGGGTGTTGTGGTCTGCAAAAGAGGCATTGAGTGGCAATCATGTTCGGTCCATAGTCTACTTTCAACATGCATCTCCCATCCTGGGAGAATCCTCCAAACACTTTTTATTTGGTGCTCCCTTCTCTATCTGAGCTGCCCATTCCCCTAGAAGGCCCGGCTGGCCTTTAAGCCATGGAGTAATCCTCCTGGTACTGATCTTGGCTATTCTTGGGTATTAATCTCCTATTTTGTTACTTTATGTCCCCCAGATGAATGTGATCTTTTTATGTCTGTCCCTCTCTTTCTGACTCATTTCGCTTAGCATGATACTTTCCATATTGTACCACTTGTATGTAAATTTCATAACTTCATCTTTTCTAACAGCTACATAGTACTCCATTGTGTAGATGTACCAAAGTTTCTTTAACCAGTCATCTGCTTTTGGGCACTCAGGTTTTTTCCAGATTCTGGCTATTGTAAAGAGTGCTGCAATGAACAAACAAGTGCAGATGTCACTTTGACTATACGTTTTGCCTCTCTGGGATATATTCCCAGGAGTGGTATTGCTGGGTCAAATGGGAGCTCAATTTCTAGTTTTTTCAGAATCATCCATATTGTTTTCCAAAAGGGCTGAACCAGTCGACATTCCCACCAACAGTGAAGGAGTGTCCCTTTCTCGCCACATCCGTGCTAGCATCGGTTGTTTTTGTTCTTTTGGATGTGGGCCAGTCTCTGAGGTGTGAGATGGTATCTCATTGTGGTTTTGATCTGCATCTCCCTGATGATTAATGATGTAGAGCATTTTCTCACATGCTTTTCTGCCATTCGGATCTCTTCTTTGAGAAAGTTTCTGTTCATTTCATTGCCCCATTTTTGGATGGGGTTGGATGTTTTCTTCTTGTGGAGTTCAACCAGTACTTTATATATCCTTGATATCAACCCCTTGTCAGATGTGTATTCGATCTGCTGTGAATCTTAAGGATGCTCCTTTATAAGCAATTTCCTTCTTTGATCTTGCCTCTTTCAGTATTCTCTCTCTATTCTGATAGATTTTCTTCTGATGGTTTTTGTTATTCTGGTTAAGATGTGTCTTGGCATAGAAAGATTGCATTCATCTGGGGGATATAAAGTAACAAAATATGAGATTAATACCCAAGAATAGCTGAGATCAGCACCAGGAGGATTACTCCATAACTTAGAGGCCAGCCGGGTATTCTAGGGGAAAGGGCAGTTCAGATAGAGAAGGGAGCACCAAATAAAGGGTGTTAGGAGGATCCTCCCAGGAGGGGAGATGCATGTCGAAAGTAGACTATGGACTGAACATGTTTGCCACTCAATGCCTCTTTTGCAGACCACAACACCCAAAAGGAGAGAGAGAACACAGGGGATTGCCCTGCCACAGAGGCAGGGGGGGATGGGGTAATGGGGGTGGGGGGGATATTATCCATGGTGGTGGAAGGTGGGCACTGGTGGAGGGATGGGTATCTGATCATTGTATAATCAAACCCAAGCACAAAAAATTGTAAATCTACAACTGTCCCTCATGGTGTTTCACTAAAAAAAAAAAGATGTGTCTTGGAATATATATATATATATATATATATATTTATCTTGAGGTATTTTTATTCCTGGATTTGGTATATGCACTCTTTAGCTTTGGGAACTTTTCATCAACGATAGCTTTCCCAGTTGCTTCTTCATCAGGGTTTTCTTCCGCTCTGGTACTCCAATGATTCTTATGTTGTTCCTCTTTACTTCATCCCCATGTTCTCTTGTCATCTCTTCGTTTATTTTGAGGCTCTTTTCCATCTTTTGCTGTTGTCTGGAGGTTATCTGTACCTTACCATGGAGCTCAATGATTCTGTCCTCAATAGCTGTTACTCTGCTGCTGAGGCCTTCCAGTGAGTTTTTCATTTCATCTACCAGGTTTTTCAGATCTGACATTTCTGCATGTATTTTTGTTTTTTTGTTTTCACTTGTGTTCTCATATCCTCCTGTATTTTACTGGCAGTGTGTTCCATTGTTTGTTTGAGTTTCTTATGCGTCCCTAGCAGTTTTATTCTAAATTCCTTATCAGAAACGTTATATAGCTCATTATTATTGGTTGGGTCAACTGGGTTAGCTTCTTCACTTACTAAGACTGGTAGGTTTTTGCATTGCTTTACCATTGTAACTGTGGTAAATGGTAAAGCTTTACCATTGTGACCCTAACAGTTTGAAGCTGTTTTCTGCAGTTTTTTTGTGTGGTTTGGAGTCCAAGTTAAGATGTCGTTCTATGTTTAGGATGAGTTATGGAGTGGTGAAGAAACTTGTGGCTGCCAAGGGGAGCCAAAAGCCAGCCCCAAAGTCTTGCTGAAGAGCTCCATTCCCCTCTCTCTTTGAAGTGGGTTTCAGGGGTACCTGTTAGAGGAGAATGTCTCCATTGGGTCCAAAATCCAGCCTCAATGCCACACTGATTGGCTCCAGTCTGCACATCTGGTTTGCATCCAGAAAGAATTACCTTGTTTTTCTGTTGTTCTCTATCTCCTCCATAAATACTTCAGTATCACTTTTTGATATCATTTATTAGAAATATTTCTCTTTTTTTGCTTTTTGGGTCACAGCCGGGGATGCACAGGGGTTACTCCTGGCTCTGCACTCCGGAATTACCCCTGGCAATGCTCAGGGGACCATGTGGGATGCTGGGAATTGAACTCAGGTTGGCTGCATGCAAGGCAAACGCCCTACCTGCTGTGCTATCACTCCAGCCCCAGAAATATTTCTAAAGTAATATTTTAGCAAGTAGTCACTCAAGACTAAATCCCTGGCATTTGTCTTTTTGAATACCATTATTAATAATGATAATAATTATCATTATCATTATAAATAAGAGAGAAATACAGCAGGATTCCACAAGCTGCTGAGAGCAGATGGTGGATTCTTTGAGAAAAAGTCTTTTCACTTTGTATTCAGGTTATCTGGATTACAAACAATAAACTAAAGGAAAGGAAAAACTTGTGCCCTAAATAGGATAAAATGCTTAGAACTAAAAGCAATATTGAGGTTCTATTGTCTCCTTGAGTTAGCTGATCCAATTCACCTTTTCTTTTCATGGAATTAATCTTAATCATAAACACTATTCACACTCTTGAATTAAAGAATGTCTAATGCACTTAGTGCAAGCTAGAAATATTGATTTCTTAAAGTAGTACTTAGACTCATATATTATAACATCTATTCCTGGTAGAAACAAATTTAATTCTTTAAAGTGCTGCCTATGGTTAGAAATAAGAGTGTATTTAGCAATAGCTCTAGCTTGGTAGGGATACAGTCCAGAAATTCTAATAAAATATTGTGCATCTCTTGATTATTTCATTCTAGACACAACAAGT